CTGACTATGGAGTTTGCATATATTTTCATGCTTATGATATATTCGACCAATGATATATTCGACCAATCACGTTACGAATAGTTTGATGCCACATTACATACATTTCATCTCAATTTTATATTAGGATCCCCATCCCCGAACCCAGCGCCCCCAATTCCGAAGGCCGAGAAGCCGATGAACTGTCGAGGACGGGGTAAACTATTGTGACCTACACGTATATTTGTCTATGTACTTATATATATATAAATCTGTTAAATATATCTGTTGAAGATTAGCCATACTTTGTATTTTAATACAATTATAATAAAAGTCTTGTTTTTTTTTGTAATTTTACTGGTTGTAAATCAAATTTATTTATTTTTGTTTATATATCTTGAAATTTCTCAGTAAATTTTGTTAATATTATTTCTTAATATCAAAAATGTTTTAAAAAGCATTTTTATTTGCTTATTGTAAAAAAAAAAAATTAATCTGTATTTTCAGTGTTAAGAAAAAAAAATTATTTCACAAAATGTTTTGTAAGGAAATTTTCTTGAGTATAATTGTGATATTTTAATACTATGTACAGTAAAAAATTTTTTTATTTTTATAAATTATTATTGATAATAATTAAATTACATTTTTATTGCAATAACAATGTAATTTTACAATATCGGGTATGATAAAAATATAAGAGACAGTTTTAATTAAAAATTTTATTAAAATTTTCTAATTTAATCGTTTATTTAGACAAATTTATTTTATAAATGATAATACTGACACAAAAAAAATTTTTTATCTCTACGTATGGTTTGATATGTCCTTATTAGGCCTGATATGGTCATATATACCCATATCTAATTTTTAGATATTCTGTAGTACTAAAAAACTCCGATAGATGGCGCATGCTCGCTAAATCGTCTCCTAACAAGAGAGTTAATTTTGAGAGATTAAATTTCGGTTGTGATAATTGAACTTTTTTAATACTATGTTTGATAAAAAAATTTTTTTATTTTTATTAATGATAATTGGTAATAATGACTAATAAATGTAATGTGTAATTTTAGAAATTCAGGTATTAAATTTTATTAATATTACAATAAAAATTTCTAATTTAATCGTTTATTTTGTAACTTTAACCTACAAAAGTTCAATTTTTATATTTAAATAAAATTTAATATTTTATTTCACCGCGTTTTAGTCTTGTAATTTAACCATTACGTTGCTAGATATATAACAAGCTAATTTTTGAGGCATTTGCATACAAAGATTAGTAAACTTAATGAATAGTTTTTAAACTCAAGTTTTTTTTTAATATATTTTTAGTAATTTGAGGTATTAATTTAATTACCTTTAAATTGATTAATTAATTAATTCCTTAATATTTAAAGTCATTGAGCTACTTTTCAATTCATTAATAATTAAGAAATAATTAAAAAATTTTAATAAAATTACTATTAGTTTAACAAATATACAAGAAAATATGATAATATTACCATAAATTATTAATTTTTTTTTCGTAAACTATATATTTAATTATAAAGTATCTTTGTACCCTAAAAAGTTACTCAATTTAAAAAAATTTTTGATTTTGTACGTATTCTATCTGTAAACACTCTGGCAGTCCAAATATTCAGTATATTAACATTATTTTTGTTTTATTAGCTGCAAAATAACCCCAAGTGATACCCTATTCAAAATAGCTATCTAATTCCAGTAATTAGCTCCAAATTTTTATCAATTTTTCTAATTTTTTTCCTGTAATTTCAAGTCTTTTTTTTTATACTTAATTAAAAGCTCACCCAAACTTGCGGTTATCTTCATCTTCATGTAATTGAAGTTAAGTCTTAGGCCAGACATGCGCACTATAAATTAACTGATCTATAGTATCAGCGCAAGCGCATTTTTTTCTTTAAAATAGGAAATCCCGCAAAATATTTCAAACTTAAAAATTACGTCCATAATTCATCCAATTCATTTTCGAATTCTTTTTTGCTCCATATCAATTATTGATTGAGGAAAAGTACATATCAAACAAATGATTTAGTCACTTTGCAAACACATTGAACCTGTCAGTATTTATTGATGTAATTAAAATGACTACTCACTATTTATTATTAGACTTAAACTTCAATACAATGGTTACAATATCATATTAGGTGCGTGGACTCTATTGGCTGCTGCATAATTTAGATGAAAGTTATATTAACTGCAGCTTGCTGTCGCAATAGTTGTAAGAGAAAACGTGCTAAAATTTTTCCCTCTGTAAATTATTCTACGTGTAAAATAAAATAAATTTAATTTTTTATCAAAATTAATTTTAAATAAAAATTTTTAATGAAAATAAAATGCGTGAAAGTACTTTTAAGAAGACATAAATTAAGCGTTTAATAATCCGGGTGCAAGTTGTGCTCATGTAAATGACGTCAGAGCGTTGGTTGCAGCGCCCTACATAGGTGGAGGTCATCGTGTACCAGGGCGATGGCCTGTCGAGGTCAAACCTCGGACTAATATCAAAGCGAGTGCACTTTTCGTCTAGTTGTTTCTGGGTTAATTTAGATTACGTCTCCATGTGATCGGACCATTTACGATGGTTAATAAAAAAGCCAACTTAAACATTAACATACATTATTTTTATTACCGAAAAAAAAAAAAACAATACATGTAATTGTTATTGCTTTAAAATTAAAAGATAAAATTTATTTTAAAAAATTCCTTACTTGTGATAAAAATATTTGTCTCGTTTTATTTCTGTAGTACTCAAGAGTTACTGGGTAAATAATAGATACCGTAAATCAATAAATAAAGTTAGTCAGACAGGTCGAAGTTTTATTTCTGTCTATCACTAGAGCAACGTTTCACCATGAACCTGCGATTATGATGGCTTTGAGGGAGTTAACTTACTTACAAGTGTCAAAGAAATCGCATGTCACTCACATTTAGTCATACAATAATGCATTATTCGTGTATATTTGCACACTTCTCGTGATATGAGCCAATGAAGCCAGTGAGCAGACTCTTGTGGATATTTTCATTATTAATGTAATGATCTTCATTATTTATTTATACATTTAGATTATGAACAGTTTATATTCATTTATCTTTAATCGAACAATCATTTAAATTATATTTGTACTATAAATTTGAATAGCGCGCTACACGCACACCTTAATTTAACAATTAATGAATCATTGCCCGATTTTTGCGAATTTTGACCAATAACTAACTTCAAGGCTTTCATATATTTCATAATATAGGATACAAAATTTGATCGCAATAATTGCTTTTAAGAAGTTTTAAAATTTTTTGTGGAGTTACAAACTCTTATATCGACGGTCTAATTAGCAATTGGTCTAACTCTTTATTTTGTAGAGGGTGATTTTTTAATATTTTGATACAGCAATAGCCCAATTATAAATTATTTGAATGATCCAAACCAAAATATTATATCTTTATTAGATATTAATGATATTAAATGGTTTTTTAAAGTGATATTAAATTTTTGAATCAATTATTTTTTCATACAAATGAAAGATTCTCTAAAATGAAATTAGACTTTGTGGCTTCAAAAATTGAACAAAATCCTGGAGGACTTTTATGTTTTTTTGCTATTAGTATATTGACAAAAGTAACTATTATATTTAATTGAAGAAAAACATCTTCAAAATTTTATTCTTCTTCCAAAATATTCCAAAAGTTCGTTCTTTGATCAATAAAAATTTTTGGATCAAAACCAGAAAATTCTTCATTAATAATTACACTTATTCAATGAAGCACTGTACTTTAAACAAAATATACTTCATCAAAAAATTTCTTTCTCTTGAATTGACACTTAAGAAAATTGGTTCAAAATATTAGCAATATATTTTAAAAATGATGTTAAAATTACAAATTTTTGTATTTCTGCTATTTTCTACATAATTAAAAGTACAAGTACTTTATTTCTAATTTTGAAAAGACTTTTTAGTTGTCTAATAAAGTATTAATAATAGTACAAAACATCAAAAGTTTTACATTAATTTTACAATTTACGAAATAGAATTAAAAACAAAAGTTATTTCAGTTAAGGAGAATTGAAATTTTATTATTTTATGAAGAAATTTACAGTATCGATTGCAGGTATCATGTTCTTGAATAAATTGAATAAAGTGACAATAGTTATCGATAAAACACATTGATGGCTTAAGCAAAGATGATGAGATACAAGGCAAAAAGTTCTAGAGTCAAGACAAGAGGCGATTTTCAAAATAACTTTCTAAGTTTTTTTTTAACAATATAGGGAACGCTCGAGTCTGATTATTTAATTACTTATGTAGCTTTGTCAATATCCATTTTTATAAAACACTTAATCCGTTCCCGCAGATTGACCTTGTTGGTGTTACGATTACAGAGATTGGTAATAAGATACCTATTAATGATGTTATAGCTGCTGAAGCAATAGAACTATCAGGAGACGTAAGGCACATGTAACAGCTTATTCAAGCCTTAACTAAAAGTTTGTTCAAGTAACTATTAATAAATAGTTACATCGACAATATCTTAATAAATATTGTTCTGTTATTAGAATTTTTTATATTGGTGAATTTAAATAGTTTTCATTGAATTTTAATATTTTGTTATCAATAAAGCAAATGGTAAAATTAAAATGTAAACCAGATATATTTTTGACAGATTATGTGCGCTTAAAATTCATTAATAAGTAATGATTTATTAATTAATCTAAAGGGAGCATGCTTCTAGAGACTGTCTCGCCAATTAATCACTAAAATATTCATCTTTCGGACAAAAATATAAGACAGTAACATGTGAATTTTTGGTTACTTATTTTTATTTTAATTAATTGAACAATTATTCGTAAGTGTCTTTATCGGTAGTTTGTTGAATCGAAAGGTGTACAGAAAGGCAGTATCAAAGACGTCACACTGAAATAAAAGTGCATAGTTAGCTGAATTATATAGCGTCACAAGTATAAAAATATAGTTTTCTGATTTTTTTTATAGTTACTCGAACTATGCATTAGTTTAAGTAACTATTGATAGATAGTTATATCGACTAAATATTAATAAATATTCTTCTATCGTGTTAAACAAAAAAGTATTAGGTGACTGAAAGGTTGTTACGGGCGATGTCTCAGATAGCTTAACTGTCCGAGCCCTTAGTGCGTAACCAAAAGATCCGGGTTCGATTCCCGGTCCGGGCTGTCCGAATTATTTTTCTGTTTTCTGAGTTAAAGTTAATCAAGTTCATTAAGCCCTTATTTAACTAAAAATAGTTTAAGTAACTATTGGGGTTCAATATAATAAATTATTTTAATTATAAAGACTCCAATTAGTGGTGATGCTAATTAACTTAATTTTTCTAGTTCAGAGAATCAGATTTTTCTCTGATTGCAAAAAAATAAACAAATCCATTTTTTACATATAATGAAACAACAAGCATTAAAAATAAAACGGTTTGAAGTGTAGGTATAAGTTCGCCGCAAGATATAAGGATGTGTATATAATAAACGTGTATAAATAAGCTGATTGATTGAATGTAGCAATAAATGTATATCTCGATAATAATCGTGCACTCTCGGCACAACTCGGATGACCTCGGCGGATGGGTGAACGTCCTCTCACTGGGACAATCGGTCGCTGCTTCCAATGCGCCGAATATGTTACAAGTTGTTATGACGTCCAAAATTGTTAATTACTCTCAAGCGCATTTTTCTTCATTTTTTGACTTCAAAGCGATTGCAATTTAATATTTTATGCATAGTTAGTTCCTACTTTTGTTTTCAAAATTTAATATGATTTATTAACTTATTTACCAACCAATTACTTCATAATGCTATAATAAACGTCAAAAGCATCTAATTATTTAAAAGTAAAAACTTTCATTGGAATAATCACATGTTTTGTATATGCATTTTTAATTTAGAAACAATAACTATTATTAACGATGAGAATAAACTTTAAAGTTGTTTTAAATTTTGATTGTAATCTACCTAATACTGAGAATTAATGAAGAATGAACGTTAAGTATACACCCGTTTAACCTATCGACCAGATGGAACGCCGATTACGAATCCAAAAGTTGCAGCAATGAGTGTATCGACCCGTATTTGAATCGAGTGTCGAAACACACGGATAAAGACCGAGTTTACGATTAGAGACTTCAAGAGTATAACATAACATAAACGCCACCACTTTGTGCACTATATTACAGCAATGCAAGTGCTATGTGTCCTGTTTGCTCCAATTATTTACATGCTCTAATATTTAACGTGTTGCAATTAGAATTCTTCTTTTTTATTAATTCATCTTTTCATTCTTTAATAGATGAAGTTCTTATACCTAAAATTATTTATTATATTGAACCCCAATATTTACTTAAACTTTTTTTAGTTAAATAAGGGCTTAATCATCTTGATTGACTTTAACTCAGAAAACAGAAAAATAATTCGGACAGCCCGGACCGGGAGTCGAACCCGGATCTTTTGGTTACGCACTAAGGGTTCGGACAGTTAAGCTATCTGAGACATCGCCCGCAACAACCTTTCAGTCACCTAATACTTTTTTGTTTAACACGATAGAAGAATATTTATTAATATTTAGTCGATATAACTATCTATCAATAGTTACTTAAACTAATGCATAGTTCGAGTAACTATAAAAAAAATCAGAAAACTATATTTTTATACTTGTGACGCTATAATTTAGCTAACTATGCACTTTTATTTCAGTGTGACGTCTTTGATACTGCCTTTCTGTACACCTTTCGATTCAACAAACTACCGATAAAGACACTTACGAATAATTGTTCAATTAATTAAAATAAAAATAAGTAACCAAAAATTCACATGTTACTGTCTTATATTTTTGTCCGAAAGATGAATATTTTAGTGATTAATTGGCGAGACAGTCTCTAGAAGCATGCTCCCTTTAGATTAATTAATAAATCATTACTTATTAATGAATTTTAAGCGCACATAATCTGTCAAAAATATATCTGGATTACATTTTAATTTTACCATTTGCTTTCTTGATAACAAAATATTAAAATTCAATTAAAACTATTCAAATATAAAAAATTCCAATAACAGAAAAATATTTATTTAAAAAGATAAAATTTTCCTGATTGGAAGCTAGAATCTGAAAATCGATGTAAGTGTTATACAACAAAGCCGTTCAGAAGTTCTAGAAGTAAACAGAGACCTATAATCAAGATTCTCATTAAATTACGATTACAGCGGTATAAAAAGATATCGACAGTATGGTTAGGTCACCGTGTTAAGTAGACAAACTTTTATTACCAACTAAGACAAAGGCAATAAGGAGTTTCCGTCGATGAAAGTCGCGAGAAAGTTGTTTTATTGCGAATTAGAATCGAGAGTGCCTCAAAAGGTGAATGAACGCAAATCACGAATTTATTCGCTCATCCTCTTTATGATTCGCATTGTAATCATTCCTTCTATAAAGTATAAAGTTGTTTTTATTTTGAATCAAGTTATATACAGGCTTGATAGAGCGAAAGTGTGAAAATTCTCATCATTCAAGTAATATTTGCGCAAACGCTATATAAACAAAATATCACTCTCTTGTACTTGTTCTAGTTATTTTATAAGTATGCAGTGTTCAGTAGGATGAAAGTGTACAATTTCTATGACGGCTTGCTGATATTGTTACACTAAGAGACTAAAAGTACAAAAATCTAATAAAATTTTCACATAAGGTAAAGTACCCAGTAGTTGAACTGGTTTCAAAGTAAAACGTATTTGACCCTACTTTTAATATATAAATGTGTAATTATTAGGTCAAATTAGTGATTTTCATGAAAATATAAACAATTTTAAATTGATTGACAATAGCCGCAGTAGTTGAACACTCGGGGAGCAGTAGATGAACTAATAAAATATATGGTAATAGGCACAACAAAAATTTTTAACGTTTTATTGAAATATTCAAAAATTTATAACATATTATTGAATAATATTAAAAATAATACTGTGGATATTTAATATGTTCATTTAAAAATGAGAAACATTTGTATTTGATTTTTTAATTACATTTTTTATGAATGACAAAGTAAATTTGTCAATTATAAATCAAAAAAACTCAATTCAAAACGTTCAATAATTTTTAACTCTACTAATTTTTAGTTATAAAACTTATTTAATTTGCAGTAATTAATACAAATCACAATACTGATCACTAGTCTATAAACCTATTAAAGGTTAGAGTGCTGTTAAAATTATATGGTCCCAGCTTGTTCAAGTTCTGGGTACCGCTTTGAAAATTGGGAGGTATAGTTGAACGCTAAAATTTAATATAAAAATTATAGTTTATGTCTTGGCAAAAAATATGTATTATTTAGAAGAGACTATTTTATTGGGCGGTACAATTTTTTTCACTTAAAATGATGATATACCGTTTTTTTTACTGATTGTTCGGTTTACAATTTAGTACCTTTTTCATGAAAAAAATAGCATCTATCGGCGATTCTCGACAGTCAACTTTAAAGTTAACAAAAATGTAATTGTTTTGATTTATAATTGAAAAAACTTACCAAAATCAATTACTGTATCATTGAATTATTATAACATGCGCATATTACTCATAATATACATACAGATTTTGTATTACAACAATTCTAAAAGTCTGTTCAACTACTGGTCCCATTTTTAGAAGTATTCAAGTACTGGGTACTTTACCTTACAAAGAAAAAATTTATTTAAAAAAAGACCGGTTTTTAAGACACTCTTAATTTAAAAAAAATTAATTTGATTTGTACGTATGTCCCACTATTCATCATTGGCATTGATTTGAAATTATTTTTGAGCTCATTGAACATTTTATGAACAATACTGTAAAAAAAAAAATTAATTCTGAAGCTAGAAGAAAAATCCTAATGTATGTATTGATGATTAAACTTACGTCTAATTTAAAAAATAAATTTCGTAATAATAATCTGTGTTATGAAAAAATTTTCAAGGTTCATTCAAATCAGATCAGTTACCAAATACAAAAACAGCTGACTTGAAAAAATAAAGAAATTATTACATTCGTAAAAAAAAAAGTAATAAGCACACGCGTAATTCAATAAATTAAAACATTCTTCAATTAATTAAGTTACTAAATCAGTGTTTTGTTTTTATTTTGATGATTTGAATTACATTAAGTAAATAGTTGAGCAATGGAATATATATCCAAGTGAAAAGAAAATATTTACGAGTGAAAATGTATGGTTACATGATTTCTCAGCGTGTTCTATATTAAACGATCATGATATGATAACATTATAACTGTCACTCAACGATGATTTCAACACGGGAAAAATTTCCTGGGAAAAATTGCCGTGCTACTCACGTAGGTTATGTGGAACACTTTTAAACTTCTGTGAACTTTATATTACATGTGAATCGAACGGTTGATTATCTTTTGTCGCGGATTTTTTTTTCAAATTATTCTACAATTAAGCTTTCAATTTTTGAGAGTAAAAAATTATTATTTTCATAGCCTGGTTTTATTTTTATAAGTGGAAAAATTATAGAAGGCTTGAGTACATTACTTAGTCGATGCAAAGGGAAGTATATTATAATGTAAATGAATGATAAAAAATTTATTTTATTGATATTTTTGTATCAGTACAAATTAGTCTTATAATCGTATAATCGTACTACTTTGTAGTAAAATTAATCGTCGATTAAAGCTATAGTATAGAAGCTTCAATAATAATAAATATTTGAAATCACTATAAATAAAAAAGGGTTGTAGCATCAATTCGGGGGACTCTATAGTTCGGGTCAAAGCCCCATAATTGTATTAAATCTAAAAACAATTTTAGATAGATAACTTGCTATTTGTATCCAAAATTGTTTTTTCTCAAATATAGAAAACATTTTATCGAGAAAAAAATTGTGAGAATATTTTTTTAATTGAGATATAAAATTTTCAATAAATTCATTTATTACTAGAAACCTTGCAGTCACTGTGTGACTGCCGTGATTCGTGGATTATATGTAAATAAAATTTTGCTTTGTTAAATAATGACTTTTGTTAAATTGCACTGTACTTTCTTAAATATTGACGTTTTTAATGATATAAGCTCATCCCGATGTTACATTCATCAAGAGCTTTCATTTTAGTATCAATACATATGTTAGGATTTTTCTTTACGGTTTAAAAAAATTATCTTATTGTTTATTTACATAACACATGAGTCCTGTGTAGAACAAGGATTTTTATGGCTTAAAACAATATATATAAAGTATATGAACTTGGTCTAATAATTAAACTGCACTGGCCTTGCAAAAAGCTTATTTTTATTGTACTTTGTCAAGATAATTAAGAAATTTTCTTGTATTTTAAAGAGATAATCTGGATCCAAGCAAATTATTTTAAAGACAGCTAGTTGTTTTGTTTCAACAATTTTTTGCCTTGAATTTTATCATCTTGACTTAAGAATATGCAGTACAGTCTGAGGTCGGTAATTCAGTCTGGACCAGTGACAACAAATGCCAATTGAATATATCGGTTTGTTTATTTGAAACACATGTAAAATCCACTGAAGGAGGTTATCAGACTGACTGTAAATACTCTAAACAGTGGTTAAAAAAATTAAACTAGATAATTTACTTTTGGCACTCTCTTGCGGTCTACATCAAAGTATAGCAAATGAAATTTTTTGTTGATAATTAGTTTTCTATCCTAACCTAGCTGCATTTTAATAATTCTGTCTTATAAGTTATCTAAACTAAAATAAAGAATAACCAAAAAATTAAATCAATCTCTCCGATTATATTGGTTGTACGTTTATTAGTAATTTCTTTATAGTAAAGTTTATTTAGTTGAATATGTGATGGGTCCAGAGATAAGGCAGTTTTATGCGCGAACACTGCCTATTTATTTATCATTTAGTTATTTTTTTTCAATGATTAAATTTAAAAATAGAATCAATTTACGAAGGATTATTTACTCCTGCAAGTTTAATGATTTTTTATTCAATAATTGGTCAAAAGGCGCCCCAGTATCTTGTTCAAAATTTAAATATTCTCCGTCCTACATGTTCTTAAGTTAATGTAAGAAAAGTAATAAAATTTCTTTGTAAATTGACCTGTAGTTTAGTATGCAACGCGTTATATCCTGAAAATTTTATCATTGCAAATAATGTCCACCTTTATTGTCGACATTACCGAGCATTTGCTGATGCGTAGGCTGCGTTGATTTATCAACCGACAGTTTGAATTTTTTAGAGAGTAAAATACTAATATAAATATAGTAATATTGCGGGGTCCTGCGGTCGGAAATAATGAGATTGCAAGTATATTTAAAAGGAGAGAAAATAACTATCTGCTAATGACGAATTCGGATTTAAATAGATTGCTCGAGTTCAAGCGGCTATATTCGTTCGTTGAACTCAACGAATTTAGAATCGCTTGTTTTAATCTTGTGGCGTTCAGGTTCGTCGGTCGATGACTTTTAAGTCTTTAATTCTGCATTGTTATCCTACTTTTGTCTTTATCTTTTATCGCTTTCTTGTCATCTATATGTTATTATCAATTTTCACGACAATACCTCGATTAAATGGATTAAGTATAAATTTAGATTTCAATATATACTGAAAGGAACCAAGACATATATCATGTGCAAATTATTAATGTCACTATTATTAGTAATAAAGTAAATATGGATCAACATTAACATAATTTTGACCAAAACGGAAAATATTTATACATTTTTGTCAAGAATAATAAGATCTTTTGCATCCGTATTATATGACTGTATATTTATATTTTGTATGAGAGTATAAATTGATAAGTGTATTTTGCTACTGCGCTATTTAAATATTGTAATAGAATATGTTGAATTTTTTATATTGGTGCATTACAATAGTTTTCATTGAATTTTAATATTTTGTTATCAATAAAGCAAATGGTAAAATTAAAATGTAATCCAGATATACTTTTGACAGATTATGTGCGCTTAAAATTCATGAATAAGTAGTGACTTATTAACTAATCTAAAGGGAGCATGCTTCTAGAGACTGCCTCGCCAATTAATCACTAAAATATTCATCTTTCGGACAAAAATATAAGACAGTAACATGTGAATTTTTGGTTACTTATTTTTATTTTAATTAATTGAACAATTATTCGTAAGTGTCTTTATCGGTAGTTTGTTGAATCGAAAGGTGTACAGAAAGGCAGTATCAAAGACGTCACACTGAAATAAAAGTGCATAGTTAGCTGAATTATATAGCGTCACAAGTATAAAAATATAGTTTTCTGATTTTTTTTATAGTTACTCGAACTATGCATTAGTTTAAGTAACTATTGATAAATAGTTATATAGACTATACTTTAATAAATATTTTTCTATCGTGTTAAACAAAAAAGTATTAGGTGACTGAAAGGTTGTTGCGGGAGATGTCTCAGATAGCTTAACTGTCCGAACCCTTAGTGCGTAACCAAAAGATCCGGGTTCGACTCCCGGTCCGGGCTGTCCGAATTATTTTTCTGTTTTCTGAGTTAAAGTTAGTCAAGATTATTAAGCTCTTATTTAACTAAAAATAGTTTAAGTAACTATTGGGGTTCAATATAATAAATAATTTTAGGCATAAGAACTTCAATTAGTGGTGATGCTATTTAACTAGATTTTTCCTGTATTTTTCTCTAAGTGTATTTCATCGATATTAATTAAATTAAAAAATACTTTTTAAATAAAAGTAATTAAACCAAAAAAAAAGTGTAGATAATTTATTTAAATTATTTCGGCAACAAATATCATTAACCCCAACGAATAACATAAAACTTTAAACTGTGGGTTAAATTCAAAATAACTGTTAATTTAAATATGATACATTGTCAGATATGTAGTTACATGCAAAGTTGTCATTTAGCATGACTTGCAATTAAAAATTAAAAAAATTCTAGCTTTAGACTAGACTAATCATTTTGAAGTCGCAGCAGGAGAGGGGAGCTAGCTCAAAAATCCTGAAAAATTGTTTGTTTAAATCTTTAGACTGGCAACAAGCTTAGCATTTCAATGGATGAAAGATTATTCAGTAGTCACGTCAGGCACTGAGGTACTCTTGGTAATTTATGGTTACAAGTTTAAGTGAAGAGTGTGAAAACCGCACAACTATAGAATTTAGCCGCTAATTTTACAGCTTTCCTTATAAATCTCTACCTTTGACATTAAGAAAAATGAAAGTGCTTCAGTAAAGCAAAAAGTTTGTTTGAAATGAATAAAATTAGAATTTTTAGGATCAATAAAATGATACGTATCGAAAAGACATATTTTGTGACATACTTTCAGACGCATTAATCTATTTAAATAAAGTTTAGTGTTTAGGCTTTCGGAATTGTAGGCCATGTAATAGTATGCCAGAGTAAAACCAGTTTTATAGACTTGATATTAGTTGAACGACGCTGAAAGCGAAAGGACAGACACAATAAGAAGAAAAAAAAATGTTACAAGTTAAATTACTGGTTCCCGTTAAAAGGTTTGTCTTAGTATCTACTAAGATTGAGATAGGCCACTAACTTTACCGTTAACTTATGACTTAATAATTGTTATTCCTAACTCGTTTGTCAACATATACTACCGAAACACGGGTCAGGTATTGAGTTGAGCGTTAGATTATTTCTATAGTAGCTACTCCCACTTTTTAAATATAATTCAAACGTTTGAATGAAGTGTTAGTATTTAATTTAAATAATTTTGCAATATTTTTTTGGTCAAATTTTTGCACCTGTTTCTTTTATTCCTTCGTATTTAACCTACAGATAATCCGACAATAATTAAGTATCATCATCCAAAACAGTTGAATTCTAAAAGTGTATTATTAAATTACGAAATTGACTCAGACATTGAAAAAACCGTTAAAGCGACAAGGAGACGAGGTGTCATGAAAATAATCCTTGATCCTAATGACGGGTTACTCGTGCCAATTGGCGTTTGAACCTATAAGCTATAGAGTAGTAAAGTAACTTAAATACAAAGCTATCGAATTTAAACGTTAAAAAAAAACAAATTTTAGTATCCGTTTGTAGGTATGAAGTGAGAGAAAAATCTGGTTCTCTGAACTAGGAAAATTTAGTTAAATAGCATCACCACTAATTGAAGTTCTTGTACCTAAAATTATTTATTATATTGAACCCCAATAGTTACTTAAACTATTTTTAGTTAAATAAGAGCTTAATAATCTTGATCAACTTTAACTCAGAAAACAGAAAAATAATTCGGACAGCCCGGACCGGGAATCGAACCCGGATCTTTTGGTTACGCACTAAGGGCTCGGACAGTTAAGCTATCTGAGACATCGCCCGCAACAACCTTTCAGTCACCTAATACTTTTTTGTTTAACACGATAAAAAAATATTTATTAAAATATAGTCGATATAACTATCTATCAATAGTTACTTAAACTAATGCATAGTTCGAGTAACTATAAAAAAAATCAGAAAACTATATTGTTATACTTGTGACGCTATAATTCAGCTAACTATGCACTTTTATTTCAGTGTGACGTCTTTGATACTGCCTTTCTGTACACCTTTCGATTCAACAAACTACCGATAAAGACACTTACGAATAATTGTTCAATTAATTAAAATAAAAATAAGTAACCAAAAATTCACATGTTACTGTCTTATATTTTTGTCCGAAAGATGAATATTTTAGTGATTAATTGGCGAGGTAGTCTCTAGAAGCATGGTTCCTTTAGATTAGTTAATAAATCACTACTTATTCATGAATTTTAAGCGCACATAATCTGTCAAAAATATATCTGGTTTACATTTTAATTTTACCATTTGCTTTCTTGATAACAAAATATTAAAATTCAATTAAAACTATTCTAATATACCAATATAAAAAATTCCAATAACAGAAAAATATTTATTAAAATACAGTCGATATAATTATTTATCAATAGTTACTTGAACTATTTTTAGTTAAATAAGGGCTTAATCATCTTGATTAACTATAACTCAGAAATCAGAAAAATAATTCGAAAAACCCGGACCGGAGATCGAACCTGGATCCTTTGGGTACGCACTAAGGGCTCGGACAGTTGCGCTATCTGAGAAATTATCCCTTACAACTTTTCAGCCACCTAATACTTTTTTCTTCAACACAATAGAAAAATATTTATTAAAATCTAGTCGATCTAACTATTAATCAACAATTACTGAAACTAATGCATAATTCAAATGTCTCCAAAAAAAATCCTAAAACTACATTATTATCCTGGACTTTTCTCCAGTGTTATAAATTTCCCAACAAAATCTATCAATACAAAAAAATCAAAATCCCGCGTGAGCAACAAAGATCCCCCAAAAGAAGGAGATAGGTTATAGCAACAGCATTTAAGAAGACAAGTACAGTGTACAGTGGTGAGGAATAATTCGCGCAAGCGCTGAACTCCGCGATATATCCTGGCGCGGTAAACTCACTCGCGCGTTGTACAGCATGCCATGCACAACCACTAACCACGCTTAGCTCTTTTTTTGCTACACGTGACCGTCTGGTTCTCCACTTAAAATAACAGTTTCATTTATTTATTTAACTCAATGAGAAACAGGTGACTATTCCACCATCACCCTTAAATAACTAATTAATTAATTAATTACTATCAAACTCTAAATCTAAGTGACGTGCCTCGGTCTAAGTGTCAGTGATAGCTAGTTTTAGGTTTAAAGACTCTCTAAACAGACTTCCAAATCACAAATCACTTGTGGGTGATGATTGACAGACAGGTTGAAACCTGGTGTGTGCAAACTATGACTGTCCAAGAATTGAAGCCTCGGGGGGGCTCAGAGGGCCCTAATAATGGATCCGGAGACATTCTTTCACCCCCAGAGGTCCTGGAGAACGATAAGGACTCTTTTCGGGACGCCTATCCTCCTCAGGACAGTGAAAATCTTTTGGGAAGGGTCCTCGCTGGTAAGAATAACACTAATTAATTAATTAATTTATTCTCGGGTTTGATGATTAAAATTCGGAAATAGTTACTATTTAGCGGGCGCGGCGTACGCGGAGGCGGCAGTTTCACTTTCCAGCGTTGGAATGTAGGTCGAGGGACCGAGTGCGAGGCTAGTTCGTTGCCCCTCAACGGCCTTCCACTCTTTGGTTGGCTATTTTTCTCCCTCTTAAATATTTTTCGCATGTGGCCGCACTAGTTATAGCCTAGATAGCTGTAGAGGAGGCTACCAGAGGAAATATCGGTTCACACCATACTTCTCCCCACCAGTGTCTCCCAATTTGCACACACACACACACACACACACACACACGCTTAAGAATGATTACTAGTACATAGTATAGGTTACTCCCACCTAGACGGTATTCTATTCTGCTATTTAACAAGTGTGTGTGTGTGTGTTGTGTATGAAGGTGTGCATGTGTGCATGTGTCATAAACCCCACTCTCAATGTCCCATTGGCCTGAGAGTCATGGCACGAAAGTGGGTCGGTGGGGCCTTGGCGCTTAGCTAGTTCGTTCACCCTGCTCGACCCGTAACTGGGGCAAGATGAAATTAACTGACGTTGCTCTGTCTCTCTCTCTTTAACTTTAGCACTCTCTCTCTTTCTCTCTCTTGCTCCCTCTCTGGGTGTATAATAAAACTATCCATGACGGTACTGATAGAGTTCAACAAACTTCAACTGGGACTTTTCCCCACCTCCCACAACATTTACTCTTGTCGTTCCCTTCTTCCAACAAATATCTCCCCCACTTTTATCACACATCGAAGGTCACGATACACTAGTTAACTACTACAGAGTGTAGCAATCATTACTATCATCGCTATCGATTCCTTTCGATATTTTCTACTCTCCTCTATTATTTAAAAAATTATTATGTAATTCCTTTTTATTTATTATTATTTATTTATTTATTTATTGTGAAATAATACGGTTTTAAAAAGAAAAATTTTTATTTTTATGGTTTACTTATAATGAGAGAAAGTAAGCTTGGGATACCGATGCAATGATCACTCTCACTTGTCCCCTCTTTTTTTTAGTCTTCTTATTATTGTTGTTGTTGATGTTGTGAGTCTTGGGCTACCTTAACTCACCTTTCTCTTATAAGGGGATTATACCGAGCCAGGTAGAAAGAATGCTTTCACTCAGAGTAACCACGTCATCTTACAACATCTCATTTCCTTCTTTATAAACACAATAGGGCACTGACCTATCCACTATCACTCTTAATTCTAATGAAATTAAAAGTACCCTATTATTTATTATTGGATTTTTTTTTAAATAAAAATTTTTTTTTTTTATAAATTTAACGAAGAATCTTGCAGTTACTTTGTGACTGCCGGGACTTGTGAAATATAAATAAATATTTTAGTTTGTTAAATAATGAATTTTGTTGAATTAAACTGTACTTTTTTAATTAATGAGGATTCTAAAAATATAAGCTCATCCTGAGGTTATACTCGTCGAGAGCTTTCATTTGAGTACCCACATCAATTTTTTATATATTTCATATATTTATATATATTATGTATATGTATATATGAAAAATATATCAAAATGCATGTAGGTACTCAAATGAAAGCTCTTAATGAGTGTAACATCGGGATAAGCTTATATCTTTAAAAATGTCAATAATTGACAAGGTACAAGGTTATTTTTTAATTATTGATATTTTTAGAAATATAAGCTCATCCTGATGTTACACTCATCAAGACCTTTCATTTGAGTACCCACTTGCATTTTTGATATATTTTTCATATATACATATATAATATATATATATATATATATATATATATATGAAAAATATATCAAAATGCATGTGGGTACTCAAATAAAAGCTCTTGATGAGTGTAACATCGAGAGGAGCTTATGTCGTTAAAATTGTCAATATTTAAGAAAGTACAGTGCAATTTAACAAAAATTATTATTTAATAAAGCAAAATTTTAATTTTTTA